ACAAAAAAACACGGAAATTTTGCTTTCTAGAGAAAAATAAATGAAATTTCAATTGTACTCTGTTTACTATTTAAAATAAAATGTATTTATGCATAAAATGGATTCTTACAAAATAGAGAGTCATAGCGGTGTTAGCTTGCAACTGAAACCAACTTTCATGCTGCCTAATGCTAACCAAATGAATCTTAGAAAATTTATTTATTTTCCATCTAACCAAACATCCCCTAAAGCTCTGTTTGTTGGACCCAAAATAGTTCCTTTAAAGAAATTTTCCAGGGACGGTTAAACGTATAGTTAGACATTGAGACGGTTCCCACCATATAAAAAATTATATTAACACAGTTCGACCAGAACATTACTTGTTTCCCGGTTAAAACCTTTTTTCCGTGAAAACGAACAGGGCATGAAAAACAAAATTCCCGAAGGAACTTTCATGTTCCAGTTGATAATTTTCCGAAGAAACAAACAGTTCGAAAAGGGTAATTAAAAAGATAGAAAACTAACTTTTCCAAGGGTGTGAGAGAGGGCTGCACCGGCGACACCGGCTCCGACGATGATGATGTCAGTTTTTGGTCCATGACTCTCTTTCTCTACCCCTCTGCAATTGCACATGTGGGCGACTCTTCTCTTTCTCTCTCTAGCTCTGGTTCGGGTGTTGACGGTCTTTGTTGTTGGGAAAGGTGTGATAGTGGAAGATGAAAGAGAACGTGGAATAGAGGGTCCATTTATAAGGGAAAACAGAGGATGTTGTGGTCATACTATCGTCAGAGTTAGAGCGATAACAGAAACAATGTTGCAGTCTGTGGGTTGGACGGTGAGCTAAGACGGGTGGTGTTGATGGATGGACCCGTGAATCAGCAATCTGGTTGGTTGGTTTTAACTGACCGGGTTCTTGTCTTTTGATCCAAGTTCCGAGTCTATCTTCTAATTCTACTCTGTTATGAATGTGAAATAAATAAACATGCAAGGTAAGAGACAAGTAATTAAGGATCCGAATCTGTTCCAATTCCAATGCACCTCTCACTTAAAGATCCGAATCTGCTCTAGTGCACTTCTCACTCGACTCTCTGTCCAGTGAGGATCCAAAGGCTGAGATCAAACCACCTAGCCACATCATCGCCTGACACTCAACAACTTAGCGCTCAGCAACTTAGTTAACAAAATTACTGATGTACTCTTTTTTTACGGCTTGTACTAATAAAATATGTACATGCATTGCGCAGGCGAGTTTGTTTGTCTCCATTATATATATACAATAGTACACTTATACATTATATATATACAAATCTTATATACATAAATTTATTGGTGTTATTCAATATCCAAATATACGTATAACAATATATTATATACAAAAATACTTTATTCCATTCCTTTTCAGTAAAATTACAAATTTCAATTCAACATACACTTATACGTTATATATATATATACAAATCTGAAATACAAAAATATATCAATACAGTTTAGTATCCAAATATAAGCATAACAATATATTATATACGGGTTCACCCTTCAATTGTTTTGTATTTGTAAGCTCATCATACATACATAAGCTAAAATCAACATTGTCGTCATGCAATTTTAACTTTTCTGTCAATGAGGCAATTTTTAGATCTTGCTCCTTGAGAGTGTGTTGTAATCTTTTAATTGCATGGGCCATACTCGTTAATTGCTCTTCGTACAAGTTGGTATTCGTCATGTTGACTGGCATAGTGACGGAGTCAGAAAAAATCTTTGGCCTTGGGTGGACCAACCTTGAACTTGAACTTGTGACTGGAGCAACCTTTGAGGTTGTAGGAACTTTCTTCCTTGCCCCCAGCGAGGTGAAGGCACTATAAATTTGAGTTGTTACTTTGACAAATTTGGGAGAATCGACTCTCATCGCATCGTGATGTCTTTTGGCAGGAACGGATGCTTTAACCTTGCTCAAACTTGCAGAAATGTTTGTACCACTTGACGAAGTTGCAACCTTCTTGCCACCTTTTGTGGTGGTAATGATTTTGTCCGTCACGAATGCGATGTCCTTGGGAATATTCTTGTTCTTTGTCTAAATCTTGTTGGAAGTCATAGAATCTAACTATGAATTTGTTGAGGATTTAATGTAGAAGAAAGAGATAAGAGGCAGAGGATGTCCCACCGGGCGTGCCAAAAATTTGTATATACAAATTCATAGTTTGCAAATAAATAACAAAATAGGGAGCAAATAGAATTTTATTAATTTATGAAAATTAGGAATACAATCCTCTGAGGTCTTCTTTACAAAAGAAAGAAAATATATCATCTGATTCGATCTCCTTTATTTATTGGATTCAAGGGCTGTTGGAGCTTGATCTTGAATCGGGTTATTGACAATTTTCTTTAGTATTTATAGTTGAAGAAGATTGCCGATGATTTCTGATCGAGGGTTGACGAAGCTTGATCTCAAACAGTGTTGTTTAGTGATTCGTCAAACTTGTTGAATCACAGAGAAAGAACGGCACGATTTTGATGCGCTTGTTGTTTTTTTGTTGAATTTGAGGAAGAACGGCACAACTTTGGATGTGTTTGTTGTCTTCATCTTCAGAGAGGAGAGAATTTGTTGAATTTGGTGAAGAACGGCACGACTTTAGATGTGTTTTTTGTTCTTCACCTTCAGGTTTGGATGTTCGAGATGAATGTCGGCAAAGCTTCTGTATCAGAGAATTTTGAATTTCCGTCCCCTCTGGATTTCTGATTCTCTAAATTTCTGGACCTCTTTCCTTCTTCCTTCAGGCCTCTATTTATAGGTTTCTTGGATTAATAAGATGATGATACGTGTCCTCTCTTGATAAGGACAAAATCATAATTGGGCCGGGCCGGCTATATTGTGATGATTATCTTTAAAATAATCATTCCAAATATATTTTATTATGAATAGTTATCTTTTTTTTATTTAATCATCTGGGCTGGGTTAATTAAATAATTTAAGTGAACCAAGTTTGAGCCAATTAAATAATTTAATTAAACATGAGACCCATATTTAATGGGTCAATTTGTCAAAACAAAAGTTCATAAAATTTTAGTATCTACAAACCTACTGGGAAAAGACTTTGGTGAAGAAGAAAAAAAAGTATAGCATGTCAATTCCTTTTCAATCAATTGTTCCCTTCATATATGGATGCTACATTAGTTTATTACAAAAGATTATTGAGTTGATGCATTCCAACGTTTTTGTTCAAGCTGGTGAATAGATTTGCTAAATTTTTACATAAACGTATCTGTTGAACATCAATGTCACTACTGTTTTGAAGTTGATGTGTATAAAAATATTTTGGTGAGATTTGCTAGGTTGTGTCATCTTTAATATAGCCTCTTTTGATCTGTAAAAGGCAGGCAACTATTTTTTATTTGTCTTGAGCATTTTGCTCTGAAACTTGCTTAACCGACTGTAGGATTCATTTTCCTATATTTAGCTATATGCTATTTGGTTGTTTGGTTATGGTCTGCTGGTTAGTTCTTAATACCATTTTGTTTAGCAGAGGCTCATGTTACAACCAGCTGGTTCACTTGCCAGTTGCCACTAAGGTTTTATGCTTAACCCAAGTGGTCACTGAGGATGAGCTCAAAGATGATGGAGACTATGAAGACATAGTGGAAGGAATGTGGAAAATTCGGTGAGCAAACTGGTGTTCCATCTATTCTTTTATTTTCCTGAAAATCTGCACACATATTGATTTTCTATGTGTCTTATCTTTCTGTTTTACAGCCTATTATTGTTGTCCCACATTCTGCTATACAGAATCATGCCTGACATACATATAATACACAAGACTCCATAACCACCACCTATCTATATTCAACTCATACTTATTCTCTGTTTATTCTGAGAATTTTTTTTTGCATATCAAATTTTTCATTGTATTTAATTTGCAGGTACTTTAGTGAACGTTGTAATCCCACGCCCAAATCCCAATGGTGAACCGGCTCCAGGGGTTGGAAAGGTTAGTATGAACTCTTAGTCTGCTTCTAATGTTAAAATTATCTGGTATACCAAGTTGTTTTTGACCATATAAATATATAGTTAATATATTGATTTAAGATTGGATTTTTTTTTTTATTCTAACTATTGTTTAAATTTGTGGTGAAATTATATATAGCTTAGACTATCTGAAATTATGTCAAGCTCGTTCGTGCATAATGCTAGCTATTCATTTGATAACAATTTGATCTGCAAATGGCAATGAAAATTTTCTTGTTTGTTTTAGGTGTTTTTGGAGTATGCAGATGTTAATAGTGCCACGAAAGCTCGTACAGGCTTAAATGGAAGAAAATTTAGCGGGAATGAAGTAGTGGGTGTATTTTATCCCGAGAACAAGTTTAGTGAAAGGGAGTATGTATGATGGCAAGTTTTCTCCTTGGACTCTGCCTGGATGTCAGTTATTCGGTGATCTTGTCTCTTTAGGAGGAACTTTCTTACGGATGATTTATTCTGATTTATGTTCTAAATAACAGTCTAGGTTTCTTTAAATAAGTGGGCCTCACAAGGGCTATTTCATTATCATTATCGGTTCGAAAAATTTAGATATTACTCTTCTTCTAAGTTTGCATATGTAACTTTTTTAAACTCAATTTTTTGAAATTATAGAATTAACTGTTTTATTTAAACTTTTGAAATGTTATGTTGTATGGTTCCTTTGAAAGCGTATAACAGACGATCTGGGCTAAAAACAAGAAGGCTTAAAACTCTAGAAAATGTGCCTCAGGTGCATGCTCCACAACCCATTGTATCTCTTCTCATATTCGTTAAGTTAAATCTTCCATTATTTCATGATCTCACTAGCATATTTGTTACTTGTACAAAAAAACAAAAATTATAATTATAAACTGGTTTCCTTCCATGCTACCAAGCGCAATATTAAACATGGCACGCCAGCCACCTGAAACTGAATCTCCTAATTGGTTAACTAATACAAGAGGACACATTACTTTCAGAGTAGGTTAAATCCCCCAATCATTAACAGGCATAATGCAAAACGAAATAGTACAACATGCAAAATTTTGGGCATTTACCACCATAAAATAATACAAAATTGTGAGGTTAATGACTAACCCAAGGTTTTAATAATTTATAGTAAGCTGAATTAAACAGATTTGTTCTTTTTCCTTTTGTGACTATCATTCATGTCTTTATCCTTCCTCTTCACCCCACCTTTAAAAGCTTTTTTCGGTGCCTGAGCACAAAGAAACCAAATTAAATCAAATATCTCAATCAACAAATTTTTTAATCAAGCAACATAGATGCAAATTAGAAAATTGTGAAGAATTGTTATAATGTTGAACAAAATTTTCAAGTGTTTTTAGCTTCTGGAGGTAATGTCCTCCTTTTTTACCATGAAAATTATATATAATATTCCCTGAAGATATTTCCATGAAACAAAAAGAGTTGAAGGTAAGAAAACATATTATAGCAAGTTACCATACCTCAGCGGAGAAAGTCTTGAGAGGGTCTCTATTTTTTCTAAATTTTCCCTTCAATCCCTTTCGACGAGCAGAATTGGTATTTCCCATTGCAGCTCTAGCAAGTTTGACAATCTTGCTTGCTTCCTGTGTTGTTGGGTCCAATAGATACTCAGGCACATCTCGTAGGTGAGGAGCAGGGGTCTTTTTGCTAAGGACCTTGTCATGCTTCAAAAGATCTGCAACAAATTAAAAATACAAGCTCAACTTGTTATTCTTCAATCTTTATATGCAACCAGTGATATTTCTACAACTCAACTTAATGTAATGTCCAACTGATAAGTTCCATACCCAAGTCTTTTGGATTATCATGAAAATGAGCCTTCAACCTGAAACAGAAACAGAGTTGGTAAAACAAATTGGAGAGAGAGATAACACAGAACTGGCATAATTTGTAGAGTTAACGCTAATAGTATAAGCAGCCAAGTCTCTCTCTCTCTCTCTCTCTCTCTCTCTCTCTCACACACACACACAAGTCCCCTAACACCTCTCTGTCAGCCCTCTCTCTCTCTCTCACACACACACAAGTCCCCAAACACCTCTCTGTCAGCCAAGTGTGACACTCAATTTTAAAATCTGAAACTGGAACTAAAGTAAGATTAAGCCCCAATCTCCATCAAGGATTTTAAACAAATATAAGGTCTGACATGTCCATAAGCTAAAACTAGAACTTCTCTAACAACCTTTAAAATGCTTCAGAAATAAAACTCTCCCATTTCTTATAGCATGCAAGTGACAGTAAGCTTGACCTGGTGAGAGAAATATATAATCCGTAGAAAGTCAAGCAATCTCTTAAAATTTTTTTTTGTTTTTTTTTTTTTTTTTTTTTGAGAAAGAGAGAGACTCTATGTAAGTAGAAGCCAAGAAGGTGTCCTAGATTTGGCAGTAAGCTTGACCAGGTGAGAGATATATGATCCATAGAAAGTCGAGCAATACTCTTTACTTCGCGTTTTTTTTTTTTTTTTTTTTGAGAGAGAGAGAATAACATTTTGTTATTTCATATAACACACGTGTCATTTATTTCAAAATAAAAGAGAGGAAGTTCATTAAAATCAAAATCAACCATGTCATCCACCAGTTCAACTCTCTCTCTCTCTCTCTCTTTTTGTTTGTGTGTGATAAGTACCACTTCTTCAAATCTCTTATCCTTCCTTCTTCATTCCCATCCTTTCTCCCGCCTTTCCTTTCTTATTTCCTAGATTTGCCTACATAGTTTATGATCCAGTGAATCATACATGCATCACTTCCAATATTCTAAATATAGTAATTTAAGTCACATACATGACTAAATCTAGTTCTACTTGCATGCTGAGATATTCAGGAGAGGAAGATCTAGAATCTAAAGAGAAAGCTACAGTCAGTAAATACCCACTTTTCAGAATTTAGAATTTCATTCCTCAGATCCTGAGCCCGTGATTCTCTCACAGCAATTTTTGTCACACTCCTTGCAACATCCTGCAGAGATCATGTCATCAGGGTATTGAAGGAAAGGAGCTTGTCAATGCAAAAGTATAAAATGTTAATTCTCAAATATATTAGAGATCACAATACAGGAAGGAGATAAGGGTAAGTAAGAAATTAGGAGAAAGAAATTGACTGCCAGATGTTAGGATGCACAACAATCCTTCAACAGGACTTCCATACACGCGCATGATCACCAAAAGGGTCTAGCATAGGGGCATTTTTCGCCTCACACATTTGGTGGTTGAGGGTTCAAGCCCCCATTAGGCAGAAGTGGGTGTGAGGGTGCTTGGCATGTGTCCTTACCTAAAATAATAAAATACAATAAAAACTATTAATAAGTTTTCCTGGGGTGGTTGCTTAATGCTTCTTATTAATAAAACCTGTCCATTTGATTCCCGCAACTTCCAGAGGCAGATATCTATAATTAAATTGGAACCATTATGGTATATTGCAGTCATGGTAAAACAACAATGTCACTATAAATTAAATTGAAATAAGTGGTTATACAGTCCTTTACATAATATTGATTGAGAGATCAACTCATTCCAAGATTTCTTTCTTGTTGGAAGAATTATTTCTTGTCCAAGAACCCAGACAAGGTTTCTTTTTTTGAGTGCCATGTAAGAGCACCTATATGAGGCTTTAAGAGTAATATTCCTCGGGCCGTTGTAGTGTACATACTATTATTTGAAAGTAAAACTGGTTTCCTGGAGAAACTGATGAAAACAGACTGGGGGTGCATATATCTACAAACTTCACAGTAATGCCAAAAAAATAGGGAAAAGCTGCTCTATCATAAATAAATATTAAAAAAAAAAAAAAAAAAGTGTCGCGCACAGTCGAGAGGTATAGCAAATATGTAGGAAACATGAAAAGCATAGCCTATCTGACCATAATCCAGTATTTGCATTACTTCATCAATGAATAAAGACTAAAGAAATTAACTTCTGTAAACTAAATGCTCAAGATGTCAACTCCAATATTGCATGATTAGGCAATGAAGGAACTTAAGCTACGTTTGGTAGGAGGGAAGGAAAGGGAAAGAAAAGAGAGGAGGGATGGAAAAGGCCGCCACTGTTTAATAGAGGGGTGGATAGGAGGGGAATGAGGCATCCTTCTTTGCCCACCATTTACCTCCATAAAAAAATTAGAGGAAGAGGACAAAAAAGAAAAAAGGATATAAGCTAGATAAAATTGAAAAGACTTTATTATAGTGGTATTAATTTATATATTTAAGGGTATAATGGTTAAATTACAATATCACCCCGTTCCTTCACTTCCATTCAACCAAACAAAGGAGAGATAGACACCCTCTTCTCCCTGGAGATGCCTCATTCATCCCTCCTTCCCTACAATCTAATTTTTCAATCCTCATAGGCTCCTACCAAATGGAGCATTAGCCATTTATTCCTTCCAAGATTAAAAGTCTGATGGGTCAAATTTATATCCATTAAGCCTAAACCTAAGAAGTGAGGGTGGGGAAAAGCTTCCTTGCTTCAGGTGTCTGCAATGTAAGTTTTAGTAGCACCATTGAGCATATTCAAGTACAAAATTTCTAGTGTTTTCTAATCTGTAGCATCAAAACCAATTAAAAATTTGGGCAAAAGCTTTTCACCCTCCTGTCATATGGTTTCAGACATCCATATTTGACACTGGTGAAGCAGACAAGGGTGTATACTATATGGAGATGGTGCAGAAACATGTAAGGAGAGGGAGAGAGAGGGAGAGAGAGAGAGAGAGAGAGAGAGGGGGGGGGGGGGGGGGGGGGGGGGGTGTGGGGTGTAGAAGGATTATATTATATATTCAAGCACACATATGGATATTGCAACCAAAACTGGACTAATTCCACATCATGCTCATTAAGATACTGATTGCAAAGCCAGAATGAACCACCCCGATATACTTGGCCTATTGGTTTAGCAAGATGTGGACTGTAAGAGGAAATGAGGAACATGATGATAGTGGTGAGAAAGGATCAACTCAAATTCCAGAATAAGATCTGGACCTATCTGGATTCACAAAGTAAAATGCTATATAGCCTATATTACAGTAGAATTTGTGCTACCAAATTTCAAATAGTTGAGGTAACGATTGGATGACGACAACAACGACGATTTATTAATAAAGGAGAGTCAAAATCACCAAGCACAACCCCAAAATACAAATTATCATAGCTTAAGAGCAAAAATAGACATTAAATATATAAGTAGAGACATTTTGAGTTCCTTGAGTTGAATGGTCTGGACTATTACTAACAACAGACACTATGCCAACTTTGAACACTTTTAGATTTATGATTTCAGAGGTATAGTTTTTTCTTTTTCTCTCTCTCTCTCTTTTTCCCTGGTTGATAAGAAGCATGGATTCTATGCCTTTAAATAGACAACACAAAATGATTGGATGTGCTGACATTGCAAATCTTAGGGCATGCACATGAGATAAATAATTATATATATTATTCACAGATAAGAAGTAAGAAAATATATAACTATATATGCATATATTTTTATCAAAACGGATAAATGTAGTCCAAATTTTAAAATTTTCTAAATTGACGATTGCTGACGTCATGTACTATTATAATGTATACAACTACGCTCTTATTATGATGTACTTTAAAATTACTCTTTTCCTATATGAGGCTACATCAGAATCTCTCTGTCAAACGCTTGACTGGTGGCCATACAAGGATGTCAAATTTTCTTTGTAAAATAAAATACGGTTTTTATGAGGTTGCACAAGGCAGTTTACAAGGTGCCTTGGAACTGTCGTACAAGTGCATGAAATTATAATTTTTTTTTTTTTTTTTTTTTTTTTGAAATCATTCACAAACCCAATAACAGTGGAACATGCTTTCAGGGGTATCCAAGAGCTTGCAAACTCCTTTGTAGAAGTGGCTGTTCCATACTTGTTTCTAAATATAATTCTAGTATATCCGTTCTTATATGCAAGCCATGATTATTGGCAGATGCACCTGTGTGAGTGACTGTTGGGGTGGGGGGGAAGGAGAGAGACTTTGCTGCTTCACTGCAGCAATCTATTTGGCACCATAATTGGACTCTAGATCATTTCCCTGGGTTAGGGAAGTGGAACAATAGAGCCCGACGCAGCCAGAAGTGTGCGGACGTTGGGCCTCTTAGGGGGGTGGATTGTGGAGGCACTGGCAGGCTACAGGCACACGATCTCACATTGCCTGGGGCTGGGTGTGGAAAGGGAAAGTGGTATATATGTGCTGGTGCAATCTCCAAATGGTATAAGGCCTTTTGGGATAAAACCTAAGAACAAAACCATGTGGGCTCGGGCCCAAAGCGGACAATATCATACCATGTGGTCGAGTGTACTGTTACCATTTGTATTATGTGTGAATGAAAATTTGTGAACGTGTACACTAGTAATGTATCTTTAGGAAGTTACAAAATGAGAAAACTACTAACATGATCTAAAGCTCAATAACAACCACTGTGATGGGGGTCCACAAAGTCATAAAATGTTGTATGACATCAAGAAACAACTTACACAATACTACCTAGTGTCCTAGGATTTGTGCTCCCAAATATCAGAATGCAAACCCTATGAATAAGAGTTGAAATATGCGATATTGGAAGTCTCAATAATTAGTAAAAAAAACTTCAAAAGGGGGAGTAAATTACCCAAACCTCCCCTAGGTTTTAAGTTGTAACCATGCACAGAACAGATGCAAAAGTTATGACCTCCCTTGAGATTATGATGAGAATACAGACTATCCCATGGCGTTTTAACAGCCCATTCAGTCCATTAAATATGCTTTTTCTACATGCTGAAAGTGCCTTTTAAACAAACTGACATAACCATCCCTAATCATCCTTCTAAAATGAAAATTTTAAACCCTTTTTAAGTACAAAAATAGTTTCAATTGTCCTCTATTTACCTTCCAATTCACCCCTCTATCCTTGTTCTCTTTCTTTCTAAAATCTTCAAGGAAGACCAACCACCACTTCTGCACCAATGTAGGCCACCTACCTTGACCTCTTCCATGCACCGCTATAGACCACCATTAACCATTGTCTTCAGCAATATGACCCATAGCCACCGATAAATGGGTTTCTCCCCCACCACCACCACCATCCTCCCAACCATCAACTCCAATCATGTTCCTACATCAATTGAGATTCACCACCACCACCATAGCAGACATAGGTAACTCTAATTCGAAATTCCCTCAAATTTTAACTGCAAATTGGACCTAATTACAAAGTTTCAAGCACCTAAAGCAACAAACAGAACTTCAAGCAAATGAAGTAAAACTCCTTTATCCCTCTCTATCTAACACAAAAAGCATATAATCTCTAAACTTGTACAAATCAAGAACTTCCTTCTGTGTTGTAAAAACAGAATCACAGTTCCTGTTGCTCACATATTCTCTCATTCCTCTCTAAATACACACTTCTTTCAGAGTATATATATGCATATAGAATCCAACAAATTATGTATATATTCTGCATATTCCCAAGCAGAGTGTGTATATATAAATGGAGGTGTTGGATCACCGACGATGTGGTGGGATTGATTCTGGTGGTGGCGGTATTGGTAGAGCAGCAGAGGAGAGATGGAGGTGCTTCACAGGGGGGTAGGTGGACAGTGTTGGGCGGTTTGGAGAGTTCTACAGAGAAAATTTTAGGGAATAGGAAGAGAGAGCTTTTAGGGAGGAGTTGGGTAATGTTTGTTCAAAGATAGTTTTAGGGGGGAGAAACAGAGAATCTTAGAGAGAGAAGGATAAGAGTATGGAAGAGAAAACAAGGAGGTTCAAAGAGGACATAATTTTTAAAAATATTAATATTAATATCAATCATGTGGATAATTTAACACTATTTTTCCGACTAACTCTAACCCAGGTGTCAGATTTGTTTTTGCGTAAGTTCTATGTTGGTTAATAATTTAAAACCTCTATGGAGTCAAGATAATTTACCCCAAAAAAGGAAAAAGAATTATGCATTTGCTTGTTTATTGACCTCAACAATTTTATTGACCTCAACAATAATAATAATAAAATACAAGAACAATTATTCAGGGAAAAAAAAAACACAAAAACGATTCCATCTCTTTGTGAACATGCACTGGAATGAATCAATAATGCTTCCTGCATCTCATTTTCTAGAATGTTGGTGAAGCTGAAGCACAAACGTTGGTATCTATAGCTATGTAACTAATTTACCAACATGCCAAAACTGGAAAACTAATATTTCACAGCGTAACTCCAAAGACACTAAAAATAAAAAATAAAAATAAAAAAACAATAAATAAATAAATAAAAATTGAGCACTGTCATAAATTATAGGATGAATCTAATATATCAAACTTCTTTCACTGATATAGACAGAATAGTCAAAACATTTACCTCAGCTCTATAACGTAAAGACTCAACTGCATTCTTAGTGAGCAAAGGAAATGGAGCAATAAATTTTGAGTCCTTGTTTTCACTCTCTCCAAAAAATGATTTGATTTCTTCAAAAGTTTCCATCTCTTCTTGAGAAACCTGTTAACATGTAATAGAATGCCAATAAGCCAGTAAAACCAAATTCAATGACAGAAAACATTATGCCCTAAGGCCCCTATGGGCCCTAACAGCATTGGTACCATTATCTAGTCTACCCAAAACATTTAAAACTCGTCTCCATTCCTGGGAAAGGAAAGTGAGGAAAATTGATAAATCCAAAAAGAAATTTATGCAAGCATATTATCAAGACCTTGGAGTACCTAACAAGAAGAAATTTTCCAGCACATCGTAATTTGATAAAGATATATTGTCTTAATACACAATTTGATACAAACACATACACATGACAAATCTCTCAATGATAGACACAGTTAGCAACTAGTAACTCGGTAAATGGTCCTTAAAGAGTATGCATACAAGAAGACAAAAGGTCATTTTGCTTAATATTGTTCCCTATCAGCGACAGACCTTGAAAATTGTATGAGGGAGCAGCCTTGAACAAGAAGAATATATAGTGGGGTATTATCAAAAATTGAGTGTGGGCATTTTTAAGATTTTAACAAAAATTATAGGAAGTTTTATAAATAAAAAAATAAAAATAAAAATAAAAAATATATATCATTGGGGGAGGCTGCCCCACTAGTCCCTTAATAGGGATGTCCCTGTTCCCTATGCAAAAATAATTTTTATATCCATCATTTAACACTTACAAGAGACACAGATGCACCAGTATTATATGCTCTTCCTGTTCGTCCAATTCTATGAACATATCCTCCAGCACTTTGAGGCATATCAAAATTTATTACCTGTTAAAAATAAATGCAGGTATTATTATAAATAGAAAACCAGTAAGAAATTTATTTACAAGGTAAATCAAACAAAATGTTTCCACTACAAGCAAACCATTCAGACCAAAACAATAACCTGATAATCTATTCACTTACTACATTATCTTTTCAATAACAAAAGAAGACTGATGGAACCCTGTTTTGTTGTTGGGTTTGTGGGGGATATATAACCAAAAAAATTATCCTTGAGAAATCATTTCACATTGGATGATATAAAGGGGAAAGAGAAGCCAGAAATAATGACAAAAAAAATGAAAAATTAAGTAAGAAAGTAAAGTTTTGAGAAAATTAATATATATGAAATTTTAAGGAAGAATATAGGAAACAACTCTTACATTAATTTGAGCTTGTGACAAAAGCTAACAAACTTCCAGATATGCCCCCAAAAGAAGGTGACTTATGTAAGAGTCATCAAATTATATTACTGTCATTGCAGTAGCAAGTTGAAAATCAAAAGCATATAAAAGAAAAAAGAAAAAGAAAGAAAAAGAAGAAAAGAAATACGACACACACATCAAAAATCAAACCTATAAACAAGTTGGCTCCAACATTTTAACACCGCCAACAAACTCCCAAAATTGGCCTCTTCCTGAGGCACAATTTCTTGAAATCTCCAGCTAAATTTCCATTTTTAGAGGATCATAAATTATTATGTGCCACTCAACTAGAAAGTAAATTATATTTTGTAATAGAAGATTATAATTTGATCATTGATCATATCTTCTGTAAAACCAGAGTACTAATTGCATCTCAGAAAAGTTCAATCATGTTTCATAATACCAAAATACAAGAATAAGAAATCCAAACAAAAAAAAAAAATCGGAGACCAAGAAGCACTCATGAGTTGACTTTGAAATTCAATTAAAATTGAACTTGAATTTATATAATCTGACATGGTTACCAACTACGGGTTTACACAAGAATTACAAATCAAAGATATGTAACTGTAAGAAAAATAAGCTCCGAAATTGTTTGCATACTGTGTGCACGTTTTTGAAGTCAATTCCTCTGACTACTCCAAATTCAGAGTCCAATTTTTGCTTAGCGTGCTTCCGAGACTTTCTGCGCTCAACATGACTCTCCCCATCAGCTTGTTCCTTCTCTTTTGATTGGCCGTCATCAGTTGCAATTAAATAATCAAAAAGTCCAGCATTGAAAGACTGAAGAAACCAGCAACCTTGAAGAAGTAAGAACTAAAATCTAGGTATAGAATTAAGAGCATTCACATAAAATTATTCTTTATCAGATTTTGGATACATGAAATTATAACATCAAATGGTAGACCTCGAGGATATGCAGACGAGAATTTTGTGGCAACTCAGCATTTAAAACAGCAGACTTGATTCCAAACTGCCACAAAAAAGTAAACCAAATTCAACAATGTAAAATGAAAATGGATGAGGAATTTGCCAACAGATTTCAACGAAAATGCAACTGATGGTATACTAGTAATTTTTAATATTTTTACAGTCCCACCCTCAATTATAAAACAGTGGGTCAGCTCAAAAATAATAACCATTAGTAACCAATTCCACTTGGCCCGAGGCCCAAATAATAACCATATATCTGTTCTAAATCAGGGACTCAAGAACACATCGACTGTTATCACCAATCACCAAAGGAACAAATTTCGTTATCCTCAACGACAGATAATGATCCTCAAATTGAAAAAACCACTCCTCTAATTCCTTTCTGGTTGTAAGAACCAGCCTGTCAACTTCCCCTTAAGCAATATGTATTGGATGTTTAATTTTTTATTCTGGTTGAATTTTAGGCCAAAAAAAAAATCCCTTTTAAGCATCTCAAAGATGCTATTAAAAATTTGTTCATCCTCAATTAAAATCAGAATTTAGTTCTAAATATATGAAACCAAGACAGGTCATTTACCAAAAGGGGAGAGAGAGAGAGAGAGAGAACCAAACTGATTATAATAACATAGCAATATAATGATGATATGAAATGCATCCATTAATAATCTAGACCATTTATTAGGGATAAAAGAATCATAGAAATACGTAGATGCATAAAAACGTAGCCAAAATACCTGTTCAAGGAATAATTTCAGTCTAAAACCCATGTCAATTGTATTAGTAAATATCAGCACTTTTTTCTGAACCAGCTCCAATTTCAAGAGGGCAAGGATGTGGACAAGCTTATCACGAGCACTGCATGAAATCTAAAATAAAATAATAAAAAGGAAAAACATAATGAAGCAGTAATAAGAACACATACATAGTTCTAAGCGAAGCATTGATGAAGATAAGATGATCCAAGATGTTCGATGATGCAGAAGTGGTTAAAGATTATCAACATCCCTTCTTATTACAAAAATCCCTCTATTCTAATATAAAAATATTTTACAAGGAATTTACCTTAAATGATGACTGCCTATGTATGTATTATTAATCAAAATCAAAAGAAAAAAGGATAACGGAGGAATGTATTATTAATCAAAATCAAAAGAAAAAAGGATAACGGAGGACATGGTTAAGTGACCATGGAAGTCATTGTTACTCATTAGGTGCATTTCTAACTTCAGACTTTACTGGTGAATGAAGGTTAAGCCTCAATTCCAACATGGATTGCAAGCTAGCATTGTGGTTACTTTCTCAATTCTACTCGCACTTTGAATTCATTAGGTTGTAGCTTGTGGTTAACTGAAGGGGTTTCCCTCACAGCAATGACGGTTGTGTTCTAAAAATTCCAAATCCTTGAGCAATAAATATAACAAGAATGGCAACATATAATTCATATATATATATATATATATATATATTTATAGATTGATAGAATATGGTTCTTGTATGATACAAATCAATAAATGCTATATGCCCAGACTAGAGAGATGTAGGAATCACTGTTTGAAGCATATTAAAGTGTCAATCACTGATAGTTTATTAAAATAGTTCAAGCCTGAAGCCCTTGTGTTTGTGGTGGAGTTTGTAGAAAGAGGAGACTCCTATTGGGGTGCTCAAGTTCTCTATTCTTAATTTGTTATGTTCTTGGGTTCAGGGCAGAAATTGTAAATATATAGGGGTGTTTGTGGATTTTTTCAATGTGTTGAGAGATTAAGGACCCCATTTGGTCCTGTGTAATTCTTTTTTGGGATCCACTCCCCGGTTGAATGGCTCTTATAATACTTTATTTACTTATTAATTAAAAAAATAAAGTTAATAAACAGAGCAAAATTTCAATCCAATAAACTTTGTTACAAAGAAGTACCTCAAAATAAACACTAGCATACCATATGTCAATGTAAATAAATATGAAAAATGAAAACATTAAACACTCTTGAGTATTAAATTTTTTTTTTTTATTAAAAAAACCCTGATGGACATGCCAGAGCATGCTCAATATGCATGCATGTCATTGGGTCCAATCCAATTCAAAAGAGAAGTAAAAGGTGCCCTTTTTGGCCTCTTATACTAGAGAAAAAAATTCGATCATCCGAAGCTTGATGGAGTTGTAGAAATAGATCAAAATATATCCAACGATTTCCCCTTTTCCTTCAAATTTACTGATAAGAGCATATCGATTCTTACCCAAAATTGCTGCACATTTTTGGGGACAATTTCATCTTTAACATCTCCTACTTCAGGCAAGGTCAAGATGTAAGGATTGTGTAGAATAAGCTTTTTCAGCTTTTCAACATCAGCACTGCATAATTTCATATAGCCAACATAAATCAACATGGATTAACCTTTTTAAGCTCTAAGAAATACCATTATCACGTGTAACTTTGATTTGGAAGAAAATTATGAATTGAGCATCAAATACATGGGAATTTTTTTTTCCTGCAACAAAGAAGCATTAAAATTTCAAAAAGAAACAAAAAGAAAAGGAAAAAATAAATAATGTAACAAGAATGTTTTGAAACAAATATTAAGGATTTCAATATTTATTTTGACCTTCGAAAATTTTCTTTTTGCTAAGTATTTGTAAAATTGAATTATTGAAAGCTGCTAATCCAATTTTAACTGATTAATAAGCTTAAATCATCAGCATTCATCAAGTAATGGAAGAAGATAATAAGATCAAAACCTGATAATGAGCTCAAGAAAACAACATCAAGAGGTATCCCATAAAGTAGATATTGGCAAGAACCAAAATTGCATGCAATGTAAAAACATTTACCAATAAGAAAATAAAAGTGGAAATAACAAAGTGTAAACAACAAACCTTGAGGTGGCCGACATTAGAAGACATTGACAGCGTCTAGGGACATGAACTGTAAGAGCTTTTAGATCCTCTTCGTATCCATATGACAGAAGAAGATCTGCCTGATAAATATAAGAATAATTGTTCATATCAAGAAACCATTTTTCAAAACTAAAGACTTAAGAATCTAGGCGCATGACTTAACATTTAAACTATCAAAGGTAATTTAGAAAGGTACAGAATCAGTGATCACTATACAGGAGCAGAATCATACAAAATTTAGTCCCGGGCTCCCAGCACTATAATTGATTTTTTTTTTTCATTCAAGTTGCACACAATACAATAAGCAGTCATTGCAAGTTTAGGTAAAAACAATTTCGAAGTCAATAATGGAAACTGAAACGACATCCACAATACACAGAATCCCACCTCATCGAGAATAAGAATTGAAAGCGCATCGTGAACTGACAATGGTTGTAAGACACCTTTTGACAGGCATGTCTGTATGCAAGCAGGTGTAGAAACCAAAATGTCAGGTGGTCCTGCCAATGCCGTTCTCTGCAACCAAAATTTTGAATCAAACATGTAACAACATAAGTAATTTTGCTGTCGCGCAAGCAACATCATATCTCAATCACTAAAATGGGAATGAAGTATGGATATGAACCCACCAATTCGGAAGCCGACATCGTGCTTGTCAATTGTACAACTTTCAATTGTACTCTACATAACTCAATTAAGGATAATGCCTCATAATAAACCTGAAAACACATCATACATATACAATACACACATTTTCATATCGAAGACTGATGAAAAAGTATAATTGTAGAAAAATTAGAATGAGTATCAGCGAAACGCACCTGTTGGCACAATTCTCGTGTAGGGACGAGAACGAATGCTGTTGGAGCGAGCTTCTCCTTGGGAGCAGATTCGGATAAAATTTTCTGAAGCATGGGAAGTAGGTATGCGAATGTCTTTCCAGAACCAGTCTTTGCGCGAGCAACCACGTCCTTACCTTCCTGTAGACATATATTAAATATATACATATATATATTAAAAAGAATTCTTGCATTTTCTCAGCAACCAAACAGGGCAAGAATGAATGCAAAGTAAGTAGAGAAGCGAAGTGAAGTGAGAACTAACAAGGATGAGTGGGATTGCGACACGCTGGATTGGGGTGGGCTTGTCAATGTTTTTCTTGGTTAGGGCACGAATCAAGCGAGGATCGAGCCCGAGATCTTCGAAGCTCTGGTCTTCATCCTGTTCCTGCTGGTCTTTGTTCTCATGGGAGGTCTCACTAGTCATGGCCATGGGACTCAACTCTCTACTGTAATCAAAGCTTTGAGTTTGAAGAGAGAGACACAGAGAAAGAGGGGGCAGGTAGCCGCGAAAGAACTAGGGATTTTGAGATGTATCAGGCTATCGGTTGACAACGGGTATATTAAGGGGAGAACAAAAATAATAATAATAATACTACGAGTAACAAATAATTAGATAACGGGTTCGGTTGGTGGTTCTGGAGCACCGTGTGGCAACGGGTTTTATTTTATACTAATACGGACACGATAGCCCGATTGGGCAATTAAGGGTAAAGTGTTAAAAAATCCCATGAATTATTAACTTTTTGCAACTAATCTCTCTGAATTAAAAATTATCCCTCTAAATTATTGATTTGTTACAATTAAGGACAAACTTATCACAAAAAACTATTTTACCCTTTGTTATTAAATTTGTCATTTCTTATTAAATTATTTTTTATTATATTTTCTCTTATTTAAATATTAATTATACCATTTACTTTAATTTTATAATTAGTATCAATTGATTATAAAATAAAAAATAAAAAAAATTGTAGCTATCATTTTCTAAAATGATTAACTTATTATAATAAAACTTATTATACTCACTTTAAAAAAATTTAGTATAAAAAAATATCTTCTTTTTCAAACAACATTCATGAAAAATTAATAAATTACGTAAATAAAAAATATCTTCTTTTTAATGCAATATAGTCATGAAAATTAAGAAATTATTTAAATTGTTTCAAAATTTTCTATTTAAGATTTTTATTTAAATAAATAATTTATTTATTAAAGGCAAACTTATGTAAATTTAATGGAGAATATTTCATCAAATTAGTATGAATTTTTTTCATAATTTATTTTACTAAGAAAAATATATCAAGTGTAATTCAATAAGAAATGTTATTATGGTCATTTAATGAAAAATAGGTAAGACAATGGGGCATTTGGAAACTAAATGTGATAGTTTATGGGGTTTTATGCATAAAACAAAGTTCAAGGGGGTTATTTGCAAATTTAGACATAATTGAGAGGGGGTTTTTTGAACTTTACCCGGCAATTAATTACCAACTCCAAAAAAAATATATATTTTTTTTTAATATTTTAAGAGTTTGGATAATCTCTTTATTTATTCCTTAAAAAAATTTAAAAAAGAAGTGGAGACTGAATAGCAGGATAGCATGCCACGAGATTAGCGTGGCCGGATGAAGAAAGCCTCTGATTAAGTAATTATTAAGTATTCCAAATCCAGACTCTAAAAATTTGTTTTTTCCCCTTTAATCATCTTCTTCTTCACTATTCTATTATTTATAGGGTTAAGTGTAAAAAACTCCCCTCTACTATCGATATAGTGCATATTAGTCCCTGTGTGGTAAAAAAAACCCCTATAATATCAATTTGGTGCGAATAGGTCCCTGGTGGTGTAAAATGACAACAATACCCTCACTTCAGTTGAATAAATTAATGATTATAAATACAGGCCATGTAAAATGACCCTTTTGTCCAAATTTGTATAAAATGGGGTTTGTTTGGCAGAAGGATAATATAAACCTCAAATTACATAAAATAAGGATAATCTAAAGCTGAATATAATTAAATCTAAAACCAAACATGCCATTTTATATTTTAAAATATAAATAAATTTATCATTTATATAATGTATATATATATATATGCACGCCATATATCATTAGGGCAAATCATTTCAGCCTCCGCCTCTGCCTCCATCGCTATTCTTGTTCTCAACTCTGAACTTGCCCCTTTCGCTCTCTCTCCACAACTGCAAACTACAAGAATCAAAAGTTCAAAACCCATATATTTTAGTTTATCTATCTGCTACAAGAATCAAAAGTTCAAAACCATATCGGCATATCATTTCATATTGTTCAAAAAAATCAAAACTCATATCTTTCTGTTTCCATTGCTCGCTATTCCAGTTCGGGTTCACCGTTCGCAAGCTTCAGCCGTTGTTCTAGTTCGGGTTCGCCTTTTTTTTTTTTTTTCTTTTTTTTTTGACCAAGTCTTCTCTCATCTCTCTCATCACCTTCTCTTTTGACCAACACTAAAAATAGAACCAAAAACTCAATTAAATGACATTCCAGCAGTTAACCTTCTGCTCCAGCAATCATGTTACTCAATAAAATATCTCGCTCATTAAAAAAATTAAAGTAAAATATCTATCAGGAAGGAAAAAAAAAAAAAAAAAAAAAACGTAAAATAAGACATGCATATCACAAACCCATAAACATATATGAGTTGTATATGTACTCCCCATTCCAATTATATAGTATTTAACAGACTTGATCCATTCTCCAACGATAGGTGGGACAACAGATACCATCAAGAAGGTTCCTATTAGCCATGAAAGAATGAAATTATCCAGCCCTACAAATGGTAACAAATTGAGATTAGATAACAAGCATTTGCTGCTCTGAAAGTACAAGCCCAGAGAGTATTATTTATACTGGGGAAAAGGAAGGGGGAAAAGCATAAACAATCATTCAAACTATTTAAATAACTTTCAAATTATTCATGATGCTTGCAACATGCATAAATAATGTCAATAATGTCTTTAAGAATCATTAATGCTCAAATTTGATCCAAAAACTTCTTATATAAGGAAATTTTCTACCTGCATCATGAATAATATTCATTTTAGGAGAATGTTTTTTAACATAGGGGTGATTCATTCACTGATTTGTTTGTTCCTTGAACATCCAATTGAGTTATATGATGCGGATGGGTAGGCAGAGGCATGAAAATAGACAACTAGCAGTTTTCGAGGTCCTTTTATGCACATATGGCGAGGGGCAAAATGGAAAACAAAAGGGTAAAATGGGGTTTTCAATTTTACTTTTTGTAAAAAGTGGTCAGAGGGATCGGTTATGCACATTTTTTTAATTTTGTGGACTTGCATACACATTTTTAAAAAGTAGGGACTAATTTTGCATAAAGTCTATATATCAGGGGGTTTTTTGCACTTAACCCTTATTTATATGGAAAGATTTCTAAGTAATTGAAAGCAAGATCAGTAGCTTCGACTGATTTACTGTCGTCGAATTCAAAGTAAGATTTGATGCATTTTGACTTTGTGTATGAATTTTTTTAAAAAAATCCACTAGTTTATTGTCATTAAATCCAGGTGCATTTTAGCCCTGTGTGCAAATTTTTAAAAAAAATTCACGATTACGATAATTGATACCGTTGTGTAACATTGATACTCGTTCGAATCCGTTACACGCGGCTGTAAACCTTGAATGACATACAAATTATTTATTTAGATACTCAAATTGCTCTTATTTATTTAAAAAAGACCAAAGCTATGTATCTATCATTAATATTTTTAGACTTTTGTTTTATTTAAAAATAATAAGAACAATTTAAGCAAATCATTATATATATATATCATATTAATCAAATGAATATTACAAAAATTATTTTCTTTTATTCCACTTGCTTCACTTTACACTCTCACTTTCACATTCGCCGTTGATTTCCATATAAATAAACTTACCATTAAAGAAATTACATCAAGGCACTGATTAACATGTTACAAAATTCAATTTATAATTCTCAAAATTTTCAAATAGTATTCTAAGACTAAAAACTTCCCTACTAGTTGCCTAGTCCAAATTAAAGGTGATCCAACTCAAATTAAAATTTGAGATTAACTAAAATTAGATGCCTTGACGCATTTGTACTAGGCTTTGACCCTTTAGATTTGGATTTCTGTAAATTGGGTTTTCATTTGTTTAAACGTGCAATTAAATTAGGGAACCACCCCTTCATTTTTATTTTTCTCTTTTTTGGTCCATCCATCAAGTCTCTTCAATTAACAATTGTGTATGTGTGTGTGTGTGTGTGTGTGTGTGTATTAGGAGTGACAAAGTTTGACATGATCCGCCAAAATAACTCGAACAAGACACCAATTAAGTAAATTTAGGTTTACCTTAAACGGATTCGGGTTATAAACGGGTCGACACGATTTACTTCTTTAGTTAATCGTGTTATATTTGGGTTAAGGAGATCAACCCGTTTAATAAACAAGTCGGATTAATGTTAAGGGTTCCTGATACGATTGTAACACGAGTCGTGTTCGGATTGAACTGTTTAGTAAAATATCTCTAGATCAACATAGCACGATTACGATCTGCAAACATGAATTGTCACCCCTAAATTACACACACACACACACACACACACACACATATATATATATATATATATATATATATATTAAAGTTATAAAGATTTTTTTTTAAAAACAAGTGGGCCCCACCAATATATTAAAAACATCACAAAGGCCATAAGGCCATTACACAGACCCGTTTCTCACTCTCCGCGTCTCGTCCAGAAGCTTCCCTTTTCTTTTCTTTTTTTTTTTTTCTTTTCCAATTTCAAGCTTTGATTCCTCCTTCCATACTTGGAATTTTTGGGTGCCGTTTACGGCAAATCGAAGAGCACGGTGAGATCTACGTGTGAGTACCAACAATTTCAGTTTTGGTACACTCTAGGGAGTTCGAAATTCTAGAGTTCTTGGGCTCAAATTGGGGGTTTTCATCAATTTGAGGTAAGGGTGTTCTAATCTATAACTTCTTGGCCTTTTGTGAATTTTTCCCCTTAAATTTGATCCTAAGCATGCTAAATTTTGAATTACCTAGCTTGTTGTTGTTATAGTTATGTGTAATTAAAATGATAAATGTATTTCATGTGTTAATTGAGTTCATATACATGTCTATTTTCATTACGGTGAATGAGCATGCTTAGTGTTTGCTATGTTGTATGTTCTATGATTGTTTATTTATTGCCTTGAAAAAAAATTGATGCTATGGTTATAAATAAATAAATAAAATAAATGAATGTTTAGAAATTCTTATTGAATTGTGATGATGATGTAAATGGAATGTGTGAAAGCCTATAGTTGAATTGATAAATTGAAACACACACATTCATGCATTCATTGGGAAAGAGAAAGGGGGAAAAATATTTTTAGAACAAACGAAATTATTTTAGGGAAAATATTTTCTAAAAGTGTTGCGAAAACCGGACGCCTAGGATGCGCTTAGTGGTCTGTAATGTTGGTGTAGTCTAGAAGGGAATGTAGTTGAGTTAACTAGGCCGAATGCGACGCCTTGGAGGTGCCTTATGGTCTTGGATAGTTAACCAACCTTCTTTTCGTGACGCCTTAGAGGTGCCTTGGGTCGGATTACACTAATGGTTTGGTTGCTGAAACTGAATTGTTTCGGAAACGGGGAGTGGCATATGCATGACATTGCACTTCATGGTACATGTGGAAAATTTGTGGTTAGATGTTATTTATACCATGCTTGTTGTTGTGATTGAGATTATGTTTTTCTCATGGTATGACCCCGTCCTTTTTTATCCATTCTTTGTGTGGGATTCACGGGGATATAAGAAGTGTGTCTTAGACACTCCCTACTGAGCTTATGCTCACCTCATTATTTTTAACATTTTTCAGAACATGTAAGAGAGGTGGTGGACAACGATCCACCACAGGTTTAGACGAGCTTGAAGACCCGTTTTATTTTGCTATTTTTTGTACTAGAACTCTAATATTTTGTAAATGTAATATTAACTATCTTGTGAAACTTTAGTTTAATTAGTATAAAGTTGTAAGTTATGGACTTTTAAATTCTAACTACATTTTATGGACTGTAACTTGATGTAACTAAAGAGTGTCCCTTGTTTGGATGAGATGGGGGAACGGGACTTTTGTATGTATGTAGTCATTTTGGAAATGTGATATAATAGCTGTATTGTGTGTTAGGACAGGATATGTTATTTTAAGGCCCAGTGATGCTATTGCATCTTTTTATGTATTTCAACAGGTTGTAGAGGGACATTTTCTGCGGAGGTCATGTCGAAATTTTTATAGATTTTATTATTATTTTGGTATCTTTTCGGGTCGTTACAAATTTGGGATCAAAGCAATGATTCGAATACTATTAGGACGACGGGTAGAGGCCTACTTAGGATTGCATGGGGAGTTGAGTTATTTGTTTACTTGCTTAGTTGCTTACGTGATTGCATGCTTATATGCTTATGTGTTTAATTATTTAAAAGGCATGCTTAATTGTTAAACTGCTCATATAATTACGTGTTAAGTGCTAAATGTTGTTGTATATTATTAGCATGATCATGTTTATCATTAGTTGGGTAATTTGGGAGTATGGAAGGTGTTTATGTGTTTCTATTCTTGTCAAATCATTCGTGTGAGGATTTCGTTCTCGTGCGTATTTTAGTATCATCGTTATTGATCCGTTTCCTTTTTCTTTTAGCGTCATGCCACCAAGAAAGGATCCCGGGGAAAGTTCTAGCTCCAATCCCGTGGAAAAGGATGAGGAGCAAATTGAAGATGATGTCTTGTTGCGTGATTTGGTCCCACCAAGAGAGGGACAAGCGAGGGGGACCGTTGATCCACCTTTGCAGTTGAGGTTAGCCGTTCAGGCGGTTCTTTTTGATGCATATCGACCGGTAGGTATGTCATCGTCACAGTTTATGCCACCACCGACACCACCACCACCACCACCACCTCCTCCAAAGACAAATGAGTTAGATAATCCTTTTTACCATATTGTAAAGTTTGTGAAATTGATGCTAACTCTGTTTGAGGGAGGCCCAGATCCGCTTGTTGCAGATAGTTTTATAGATAGGGTGGAGAATCATATTAATGCCATGAATTTGGCAACGGACAAGTTGAAAATCACATTGGCGACTTACAATTTTATTGGTGATGCTGAGATATGGTGGAAGACCGTTTCTCACACCTATAATCTGGACACAATGACTTATGATACATTCAAGAAATTGTACTATGAGAAGTACTTTCCAGCGCCTAAGCGGAGGGAACTAAAGAAGGAGTTTGATGGGTTGAAGCAAGGAAACATGACAGTTACAGAGTATGAAAACAAATTTACATCGCTTTTGAGGTTTGCACTAGGGATTGCTAATGATGAGGAAGGGAAGATAGATAAATTTATTAATGGCCTTGATCTTACTATTAGGCCAATTGTAGCTGCTTCAAAACCGACAGAGTATGCAAAAGCAGTGCAAAAGGCCTTAGTGGTTGAGGCTAAGAGCAAAAACAGTAAGGCTATCAGGGAGTCCTACAAGCATGACAGGGGTACGAGTGCTTTCTCCGTGGGTCGATCAAGTAAGAAGCAGAAGCATGAGCAGTCAAGGTTCAGGGGACAGCAGTAAGTCAGATCTGCACCAACAGCTTCAGTGTCCATGGGGTCTCCTAGATCGAATGTTACTTGTTTCAGATGTGGACAGCTGGGACATTACAAGTCCTAATGCACTCAGGCTCAGCTAACTCAAGTGATTTGTTTCAAGTGTGGGCAGACAGGGCATCACAAGTCCCAGTGTACTCAGATTCAGGTGGCGTCTGGTGGATGTTTCGGGTGTAGCCAGCAGGGCCATAGGGTGAAAGATTGTCCACAGCGGGGTAGTAGTTTGGGCAGAGGTGGAGGTTCATAGCAGAGGCAGATGTAGTCTGCCACAATTCAGTTAGGGTTTCGACCGCCGCCACCACCACCTCAGCCATCTCAGCCAGCTATGTCAGCCCAGAGTTCTCGACCTGGTAGGGAAGTTTCTTCGAGTGCACCCACTCAGCAGTCTGGTTATCAGGCAAGCGATTCTTAGGGGCAGAAGACCCAGGGTCGCGTGTTTGCACTCACTCTAGCCGAGCCACCATTCAGTCGTTCAGTTGTCAGGGATATGTTTCTTGTATCCCATTCTTGGGCTCGTGTATTATTTGATTCCGGTGCTTCTTATTCATTCATTGCTTCATCATTTGCACGGGCATTGGGTTTGGAGGTCAGTCAGTTAGACAGACAGCTTTGTGTTGACACGTCTATCAGAGGTTCAGTTGCTTTTAGTAGAGCTTGTAGGAGTTGTTCCATCACAATTGCCGGACGTGTTCTTGAGTTCGATCTCATCTTTCTCGAGATAACGGGATTTGACGTCATTCTTGGGATGAACTGGTTGTCGTCCTTCAGAGCTGTCATTGATTGTTTCAGGGGCAGAGTTTTAGTGTGTACCCCAGATGGGTATTGTTTTTGTTTTATGGGAGATCGGTGTAATCCTCTCACTCATTCATTCTATGGTGTTAGGGGTCGGGATCGGCATACGTTCTTCTTGGCTAGCCTTTTCGCTGATGATGACGTTGAGTTTTATGGGGTTGATTATCCAGCAGTTGTGCGCGATTTTTTTGATGTGTTTCCGGAGGACTTGACTGAGTTACCTTCACACCGAAAGGTGGAATTTGCTATTGATTTTATACCGGGTACCACGCCAATCTCTATGGCACCGTATCGTATGGCACCAATTGAATTGGAAGAATTGAAGAAACAGTTTGATGAATTGAGGATGAAAGGCTTCATCTGGCCGAGTGTGTCACCGTGGGGTGTACCGGTCTTGTTCGCTAAAAAGAAAGAAAGATGGTTCTTTGAAGTTATGCATTGATTACTGAAAGTTGAATCATGTCACCATCAAGAACAAATATCATTTGCCAAGGATAGATGATTTGTTTGATCAGTTGAAGGGAGCCAGATGTTTTTCGAAGATTGACTTGAGGTCAGGTTATTATCAATTGCGGGTTAGAGAGGAGGATATTCCAAATACCGCTTTTCGTACGCGGTATGGACATTATGAGTTTCTTGTTATGTCTTTTGGACATTATGAGTTTCTTGTTAATGAACCGTGTCTTCCACGATTATTTGGATTAGTTTGTGATAGTTTTCGTGGATGATATTCTTGTGTATTCACGGACTTGGGAGGAGCACGAGGTCCATTTAAGTATAGTGTTGCAAATTCTACGGGAGCACCGTTTGTACGCCAAATATGAAAAGTGTGAGTTTTGGCTACAAGAGATGAAATTTTTGGGACTTGTTGTCTCGGAAGGTGGGGTTTCAGTTGATCCTTCAAAGATAGAGGCAGTTCTGAATTGGGAGCAACCCAAGAATGTCTTTGAGATCCGGAGTTTCCTTGGCCTAACGGGTTATTATCGGAGATTTGTGAAGGATTTTTCCCGTTTGGCAGCTCCTATGACCAGATTGACCCGGAAAGGGATCAAGTTTGCATGGAATGAGGCCTGTGAGTCTTCCTTTTAAGAGTTGAAAACAAGGTTGACTACGGCTTCGGTGTTAATGATACCTGAGCGTGGCTTGGGTTATGTGATCTATTGTGACGCCTCACGTGATAGTTTGGGTTGTGTATTGATGCAAGATTATAGAATAGTGGCTTATGGGTCTTGACAGTTGAAGACTCACGAGCTTAACTACCCTACTCATGACTTAGAGTTAGCGGCAGTTGTGTTTGCTTTTAAGTGTTGGAGACACTATTTGTATGGTGAGAGATTTGAGGTGTTCTAGGACTACAAGAGTTTCAAGTACCTTTTCTCCCAAAAGGACTTGAACAACAGACAGAGGCGATGGGTTGAATTCTTCGAAGACTATAACTTTGATTTGCAGTATCATCCTGGTAAGGCAAATGTGGCAGCTGATGCTTTAAGCCAGAAATCTCGTGGGACTTTGGCTAGTTGTGATATCCCTCGGATCCGATACACGGGTTGATCAGGCCCAAGCCCAAACCCGATGGAAATATCAGACAATTAAAGTATTTTAAAGCGAACACAGATGACAAAATAAAATAAGAATAAATATTAAAAGCTGAAAGAAACTAAAATAAAATCCTTTAAAAAAAATACTTAAATCCCAATAATCCAAAACCTCCAAAAGATTAAACAACTCGGGAATCCATCTCTAATGGACCCCTAATAATAATCCAAACTGAATAAAAAATAACTGAAAGAAACATCCAGCAACAAGCTATGGAAAGAGAGTCCTACGTAGTCGATAGAATGGAAGTCCGTATCTGCATTGCACGACCAAGCTCCAACCCTGGAACTGACGAGCACCTGAAAAATAAGAGAGTGGGTCGGCCCACATGCAAGTTCTAATCTAACTGCATTCCATACAGTGACTCGATACGTAGATACACCCTAGATACCTCACAATATCTATGTAGTCCATATATATATATATATATATATATATATATATATATTTACACTAGAGGACATTCACTGGACTATAATAGGGGTCTCAACCTGAATAGAAGGCAACATGCGAAAACACACCCAAAGGTGGGCATGAGTACCTAGACCTAACAGGGTACACCTACCTACTATATCCAGCTACGCATCCACTGCATATACGCACCATAACCAATGAGTCTGAGACTCAAGCTCATCTTGTGGTACCATAATCATATATCTAAAGTCCGTCCAAATCCAGCGTATGTCATTCAATTATTCATTGAGGTGACATACGAAACACAATCCAGTTAGTCATTTAACTTATCCAGCTGATATGACTTAATTACAACCACTTAAACCAGGAAGTCACTCAACTTAGCTAGTTGATCTGACTTAAACACAATTTAGGATTCAATAGTTTATAATCCATTCCGTTAATCCGTTAGGTTAGGTTTTAGCGTTTTGAAGCTAAACCGTCCCTAGTATGCCACCGTCCCATACCGGTGCATACAATCCTCCATATCCATGTAAATTACAATATATAAATCACAATTTAGTAATTTACAGTCCAAACCATTATCCAAGTAGTTGCAGAAAACGTTTCATTATTCTATCAATTGCAATCTAACAGTAATCCAAGTAATTGTAGAAAAGGTTTAATATTTTAACAATTAGCATCCCAAAGCATGTATAGATCAAAAAAATTACATAGATGACCCTATCATGCATTTAACATAAGTTTTATAAACATTCTAAATCCCATTAAATTGCTAAAATTTAGTTAAGCAATTAATCCGTCTTTTTCCCGTTAACAGTGTAGAAAGTTTACTAATTTAATACTGTTTGTCCCACTGACTCAAAAGCCAACTTTGATCAATCTAAGGTCCTAATAACACTCAAAATAAACCATTTAATCCCTCTGTGAAGTCCCAAAAGTTTCAGAACAGTTCCTACGCTCCAACAGTAACCACAACTCGTAAAAAAAAATATCAGAATGTCTACTATTGAAGAGAACCTGCTCCAAGACTTTAGGAGCAGGCTCTAATGAGCCTGGAGCCTGCTCCATGGACATTGGAGCCGGCTCTACATGTGTGGGAGCCGGCTTCCACTTCTATGGAGCTGGCTCTCACCTCCTCTAAGAGCTGTCTTCAACCGCTGCAACTTCTGCGACCTTCTGCTTCGTCTCCGGTCGCTCCCAACCTGTCTATTTGGTTTTAAACTGTTCCTAAGGGATCTAACTGTGTCCAGTATAATCCCCATGATGTGTTTACAGTAGTTGAAGTTAAATACAAAAACTACCAGTTCTACAGGCTAAGCATGCTTTAAGAATACAACTGAAAACAAACATGCACAAACTGTAATTTAACATAATAGAACACATATATATCATCAATATGGCATGTAATATACATGTAAAACTCAGTTAATCATTAATTAATCCCTAGAGACTATCTAAGTGCACAGAACACAAGCCAGAGGGAAGGAGGAAGAAAAAAACTTGCCTGTGATTTTAGTTTTGAAATCTCGGCGTGGTGTCCACTGTTTCGGCAACACTGAACTACCGTCTATCCTCCTTGTACTTCTACTCTTCCCTTCTCCTAGGTCTGACCTTGAAACCTCAGTCGAATCCCACACCGAACGTGCTCTGTTCTCTTAAAACCTCACTCTGTATCTCTCTGTTTTTACAGGACTCAGTTTACGTCTATGAGCTAAGTGTTATGATCGTACCCTAGACTTAAAGTATAATGGTGTATTTATAAGCTTAACCCTAAAACCCTAATCCTTGTAATATTAGAGACAGAGCCCTAACTCGGCCCACGAACAGCCCTCATTATAAACTTTGTCGGCTTCCACCTAGAAACCCTAAAGAATTTATTAACGTAATATAAATACTCATTTAACCTAATTACATAATTAAACCTTTATACTAATTAATTAAGGATACATAAATAATAAAAACAATTCAAATAATTTAATTAAACTAAGTAATACAAGTAAAACAAATAATGCAATTAAATCAAATATTAAATCAAATAATTCAAACAAATTAATTAACCAAGCAACAAAATAATTAAATACTTAAAAATACAAACAAAACAATTAATTAAAATACAAGGACTATCCTTATAAAATTAGGGGTATTACATTAGTTTAGCCATTCGGAAATGGAAGATGTTTGAAGATTTGGCTGAAATGGGATTGTATTGCTTTGATGATGATGATGATGGCAGTGAGTCAGCATTTTTGTTTAGTCTCGTGGCTCAACCCACTCTTTTTAGACGGGTGATTGAGTCACAGAGACAGGATTCGGATTTGGATGCCATTTACACTCTGATCTCCAGTGGCGAAACTGTGAAGGATTGGACCTTATATGCAGATGGAGGTCTACGGTTCAGGGGTTTGTTAGTTGTTCCCACAGTTTGTCGTGAGGACGTCTTACGGGAGTTTCACACTTCCCGCTTTGCAGTTCATCCGGGTAGTACCAAAATGTATCACAATTTGAGACGTCAGTATTGGTGGAATGGAATGAAGAAGGACGTTGCACAGTTTGTGGTTAAGTGCCTTACCTGTCAGCAGGTAAAGGTCGAGCACCAGAGACCAGCAGCTGGTTTATTGCAGCCATTGCCGGTAGCGGAGTGGAAATGGGAGGAGATTATAATGGATTTTGTTACGGGTCTTCTTAGGTCACGGAGGGGAAATGAAGCCGTATGGGTAATTATCGACAGATTGATTAAGACGGCTCACTTCTTGCCTATTAAGGCAACAGATGACGCAGAGGCACTCGTTGTACTTTATGTGAAGGAAATTGTGAGATTGCACGGAGTTCTAGTGGCTATTGTGTCGGATAGGGATGCCAAGTTTACTTCGAAGTTCTGGGAAGGATTTCAAGCAGCGTTTGGCTCAGCGTTGCACCTTAATACGGCATTCTATCCACAGACGGATGGCCAGTCGGAGCGTACCATCCAGATCTTAAAAGATATGCTTCGGGCCTGTGTACTTGACTTGGGTGGTAGTTGGGAGGATCACCTTCCACTTATTGAGTTTGCCTATAACAACAATTATCAAGCGAGTATTCAGATGGCTTCATTTGAGGTGTTGTATGGTAGACCTTGTAGGTCCCCTTTCTGTTGGACTGAGGTGGGCGAGATAGCCGCCTTAGGTACCGACATTGTACTCGAGACTACCGAGAAGATTAAGCTGATCAGACAGAGATTACTTACAACTCAGAGCCGACAGAAGAGTTATGCAGATAGACGGAGACGACCGCTATTCTTTGAGGTGGGAGACCATGTTTTTCTTCGGGTTTCTCCACGGAAAGGGTTGATGAGGTTCGGGAAGAGTGGCAAGTTGTCGCCATGATTCATTGGACCTTTTGAGATATTGGACCGTGTAGGAGAGGTTGCTTACAGACTAGCATTGCCACCGCAGATGGACAGGGTCCAAAATGTCTTTTAAGTTGGGTTGATGTGGATGTTTCCTATGAAGAGGGACCAATTCAGATCCTTGACACACAGCAGAAGGAGTTGAGGAAAAAGACGATACCGTTGGTAAAGGTTCTTTGGAGGCATTACGGAGTTGAGGGGGCTACTTGGGAGCTTGAACAAGAGGTTCACTCTAAGTATCCAGAGTTGTTTTCTCCCTCAGGTATGGCTTGATTTCGGGGATGAAATCTTTTAAAGTTAGGGAGACTGTAATGGGTATGATTATATATATATATATATATATATATATATATATATATATTAAAGTTATAAAGATTTTTTTAAAAGCAAGTGGGCCCTACCAATATATTAAAAACATTACAAATGCCATAAGGCCATTACACAGACCCGTTTCTTTCTCTCTGCGTCTCGTCCAGAAGCTTCCCTTTTCTTTTCTTTTTTTTTTTTCTTTTCCAATTTCAAGCTTTTATTCCTCCTTCCATACTTGGAATTTTTTGGTGCCATTTGCGGCAAATCGAAGAGCACGGCGAGATCTACGTATGAGTACCAACAATTTCAGTTTTGGTACACTCTAGGGAGTTCGAAATTATAGGGTTCTTGGGCTCAAATTGGGGGTTTTCATCAATTTGAGGTAGGAGTGTTCTAATCTACAACTTCTTGGCCTTTTGTGAATTTTCTCCCTTAAATTTGATCCTAAGCATGCTAAATTTTGAATTACCTAACTTCTTGTTGTTATAGTTATGTGTAATTAAAATGATAAATGTATTCCATGTGTTAATTGAGTTCATATACATGTCTATTTTCATTATGATAAATAAGCATGCTTAGTGTTTGATATGTTGTATGTTCTATAATTGTTTATTTATTGCCTTGAAAAAAAATTGATGCTATGGTTATAAATAAATAAATAAAATAAATGAATGTTTAGAAATTCTTATTGAATTGTGATGATGATGTAAATAAAATGTGTGAAAGCCTATAGTTGAATTGATAAATTGAAACACACACATTCATGCATTCATTGGGAAAGAGAAAGGGGGAAAAATATTTTTAGAATAAACGAAATTATTTGGGAAAAATATTTTCTAAAAGTGTTGCGAAAACTGGACGCCTAGGAGGTGCCTAGTGGGCCGTGATGTTGGTGTAGTCTAGAAGGGAATATAGTTGAGTTAACTAGGCCGGATGCGATGCCTTGGAGGTGCCTTGTGGTCGTGGATAGTTAACCAACATTCCTTTCGTGACGTCTTGGAGGTGCCTTGGGTCGGATTACACTAACGGTTTGGTTGTTGAAACGGAATTGTTTCGGAAACGGGAAGTGGCATAGGCATGACATTGCACTTCATGGTACATGTGGGAAATTTATGGTTGGATGTTCTTTATACCATGCTTGTTGTTGTGATTGAGATTATGTTTTTTCCATGGTATGACCCGTCCCTTTTTATCCATTCTTTGTGTGGGATTCATGGGGATATAAGAAGTGTGTCTTAGACACTCCTTACCGAGCTTATGTTCACCCCATTATTTTTAACATTTTCAGGACATGGAATAGAGGTGGTGGATGACGATCCACCATAGGTTTAGAAGAGCTTGGAGACCCATTTTATTTTGCTATCTTTTGTACTAGAATTCTAATATTTTGTAAATGTAATATTAACTATCTTGTGAAACTTTAGTTTAATTAGTATAATATTGTAAGTTATGGACTTTTAAATTCTAACTACATTTTATAGACTGTAACTTGATGTAACTAAAGGGTGTCCCTTGTTTGGATGAGATGGAGGAACAGGACTTTTGTATGTATGTAGTCATTTTGGAAATGTGATATAATAGTTGTATTGTGTGTTGGGACATGATAGGTTATTTTAAGGCCCAGTGAGGCTATTGCATCTTTTTATGTATTTCAACAAGTTGTAGAAGGACATTTTCTGCGAAGGTCATACTGAAATTTTTATAAAATTTATTATTATTTTGGTATCTTTTCGGGTCGTTACATATATATATATATTAGAATCAAGGTAGATTATATATAAATAACTTTTAAGCACAAAGCCGTATAAATAAAAAAGATTGAATTGTTGTTTGGCCATGTTTGCACATGTGTATGTATTTTTAGGGGTTATAATTCGTGTTTGTGGGTTACAGTCGTGTCGTGTCAATTTTAAAGTATTCTACTAAATAGTTCAACCTAAACACAATTCATTTAATAATTGGATTAGGAATCCTTAATAGTAACCCGACCTATTTATTAAATGGGTTATACCTGCTAACTTATTTAATGTCCTATTTTGTCAAAATCAAATATTTTATTATTTATAATTCTCAATTAAAAAATATATGTCTCAATTCAATCAAATTACTATATAGTTTCTAATACACAAGATAACAATTTAAAAAATATATGTTTAGATTGTTATTACTTACGTATTATGGGACTCAATTGATAATGACAACTAAATGAGCTAATGTGCAATTTTGTGAGGACTCATGTTGAAATGAACTAATTAATCATAATTAAATGAATTAAAATTTTAACATGACACAATTAGTTAATCGTGTTAACTCATATATAATTCAAATTCGTTTAATTTCAATACAAATCTGTTTATATCGATCGTGTTCAAGTCGTGCAGATAAATTTAAACTTTGCTAACTCTGCTACCCCATGTGTATCTAATTTGGAGAACTGAGAGTAGATTGATGTTGGGATTTGCTAGAGATCGTTGAGTCACATGGATTGATGGTTCAATCACTAAAAATCCAAGTGTGAAGGCGATTGTTAGTCAATCAGTATGGAGGAACATTTTGGTGATGCAACATCAAAGAAAATATTAATAAAGCATTTTCTTTCACTGTGTATTCGCGTGGATTTAAGCACTGATGAAATAGTTTTAGAGAAGAGGTACTGGAGTTGGAATGGAATAATATTGTCAACAATGCGGTGTGCGTATATTCAACATTTTGAATTACGGAAATTTAAAATATAAATAAATAAAGTTATTTAATTTGTGATGATTTACTGAATTCTACTAAAGGGATTGTTTCGTACATTCACTGTTTTTATTCAATAAAAACTAATCTTTGTCAGGGGAGAAGAAACAAAAAAGTTGCTTTAACAAATGATATTGCATAATTAATTATTAATAAAAAGAAACTTTCATTAGCTTAGGTTTTTCATTTCCTTCTGAAGCTTTGCAACTCCCTGGAGATTTGTAATTGATGGTCACTCATTGTTTCAAGTTCATGAAAACAATGTTACATTTTGCGT